GAATTCGGCACCAGCTACCGGTATGACTGGTACTTTGAGCACGATAAATGTGAGGACCACGAAGGACGGAGGGATGACATCTTGCCATCTGCTATAAATAAACAACCAAGGAGAGCGCATCCCGCAAGTTTTGTGATAAGGACACAATCTACTCGCAACATTCGATACTTCTGTACGTATCCGTTGAGTCAACAACGTGTAGCCTTGTGCCGTGTTTGATCGGAAGGGGAAATAGTACTCTAGCCTGTCGGCTGCTCTTACGAGCTCCCGCTTGACCCTCCTGTTGCTGTCATCAACTCTCCGTCCAGTAAAAGCGACTTTTGAGTCCTACTTTGGTCAGCCAAAAGGTCAGCGGATCCTGATCGTTGGTTGTGGGCTCTCGACAATTGCATCACAGATGCATGCCATGGGCTACCGTTGCATCACCGCAATGGACATCTCTGCAACAGTGATCGGACTCATGCAGGCAGGCGATCAGGACAAAGAGGGCATCGAATGTAAGATTGGCAACATGTGGTTCATGCTTTTACTTCGGTGACGGCCGCCTCGTAAGAATGCCAGCTACTTATGAAACGAGAACTTGGTTGAGGCTCAGATGCTCGAACAATAAGAAAATTGGTTTCCAGGCGCTTGGAATTAGCAGTTCCCTTTTCACTGCAACGGTATAGACTCTATATGTATATGGTCGTGCGTAAATTGTAACTTTTCAGAGAGGTTCGTAACAGTTCATTTGGTCGTGGATTGCTTCCCCTTGGAGCAGCGGTCGCAGTCTGGCCTCGTGGCAGCGTTGCCGAAAAAATTACCCGTGGAAACGATAGTCTTTGCGCCCACTCGCGATCGCCGTATATGTATTAAATAGTCTAAGTGCCGGCTCGCTCATAAGAAACACCTACTTTTGAAGAAAGCTCAAAGCACATTTTGGCCCCACCACTGAGCAAAGGCTTCTGTATAGAAATCAACGTAGCGCCGGCCGCTATATTCAACTTCTTAGGGAATTTTCTTGCATAAGTGATAAGTTTGTCCAAAATCTGAGCCTCGGTTTTTTACGAAGATAAGTACTTCGCTCGAGCGGGCGGCACTGTACACGCACGTTTGTTTCCCGAGGAAATTGTCGATATGGCCAAAAAGACCCACCGTAAACACGATGCATGCATGCCTTTCTTCGCGCTTTGCTCCCTGCCACGCGGCGTACATCAGATATGGTCGGCGACGCTAGGAAAATGGATAGCCTTCCTGACAACTTGTTCGACGGAATCTTCGACAAAGGTGTTGCCAGTACCTGCGTCTGGCTCGAGATTGAGATTGCGTCGCGCCCACCACCCTGTCTGAATGCATTTGAGTGACGCCTGCGTATAGTGTGGAACCCCCCCTGCTATTTCATGATTCTACTACGTGGTGGACTGGTTGCCTACCCTCATCGAGTAACATCAAGAATATGCAGTGCCAGAGTACGCCAGAACTCATTCACCACTTACCCGTCACCCTGTTCAGGTGTTTTATAACGTCGATGAACCATGAGCACAGGGCTTCTTTCTCTTGGCACGCTTTCACAACAGGATGTGCGGACTCTTTGATCTGTGGCTACAGATCGACGGACGACGTGGTGGATATGTTCCACGAGTGCTGCAGAGTCCTCCGACCATCCGGGGTCTTTTTATGTGTGTCACGTGAGTGGGTAACGCTGCTTTGACACAAAGCCCTGATGCGGGTGAATCCGCTACGTGTTCCTCGATGATATGGTCACGAAACCAAGTTTGCAGCAGGGGGTCTCTCACGCGGTCGTCGCTTGCAATGTAATGTGCTACACACAGTTTATTTATTGTAGTATTCAGTCGACCGGGCAGAATTGCAAACAATAAAAAAAACTGCGAGGATTATGCAACTAGCTGTCACTAGTGTTTTCCCTCTCTTGCTCTCACTCACTTGCGATAGGCTTACAAAACATTTTGCCTCCCACAACCCCTACAAAAACACGAATTGCTATTACTTGGGCAGACGGAGCCCCGGACGCGCGAATGCACATGTTTGAACACGAAGGGCTGCAGTGGCTAACGAACGTCATCCCGATTCGTGAGTTCTTGTGGTTGTCCCCGGGAGCAGGTGTCACTTGCCGAGTCTCGCCAGGTCTCTTTTACGGCTGTATCGAGGAACGTCCATGTGTACCTAATGGCTTTGTCGTTGCTCTGCTTGAAAACGGTGCTTTTGGGCACGCATATCCAAGGCTGGGAGTATGCGCCCAACAAAACAGGACTATTGTTAGCACGTGTGAGAAAACCAGTCTGCATGGAGCGTGCACACCCAAGGAGTACTTGAGTTTTCCCATACGCAGTCCACGACGATCCCAGAGGGAAAATCGTTGGCGCAGAAGTTTTTCTCAAAACCACCCCAACAGTAGTACAACATTCTACAACGTAGCCCTCCTTTGTCGGATCACGACCAACCCACGTGACCCCTGAATCCTGCAACTCAGACGGGTCCGAAGGACTGAATGTATACGTGAGCACCAAGCGGACCCAGGAGGAACTCCAAGCTGCAGAAAGGCAGCGGTTGGACGACATAGAGTCGACAATATCGATGCGAACGCGCAACAGCACGTTTTCGCACTCGACGCGGTCACGACGGGGTGTCATGCACCAAAACCGGATTGTTTATGCCATGTGAGTGCCATGTACCGCAGGAGGAAACGACCACCGCGCTTTAGAGGCGATCGTTTAAGGAAAAAATACGGAATAAACGCTACCCTTTACTCGAAGCAACAACACATTCCACCTTCGAGAAGAAGTCAAGGCACTATTAACACTAATAGCAGGGGCGCGTCGTGTAGGGGTAGATGTCCCGCGGGGTGCGTTGTGTTTGTTGGAACCTACGGCGCCCCAGGGGGCAGAAAGCACGTCAATTTGTGCCGCTTTCCGGTGAACACGTGTGGCATTCCACCCGAAACACTATGAACCAGTGCGAGTAGCATGAACATATGAAATTCTGAGAGTTGAGGTGGGGTCTCCGGTTGTTTTCTAAATTACGAGGAAATCAGAACCAAAACCAATCGAAGGCATGAGGCAGGTAAGATTTGCCAAGGGCGTGATAGACACGACAGCATCTACTCCAGAGTATTTTGTCTTGGTAAAAACAGGGCCGACAAGGCCTCCCTCTGATGTGTATAGTGACCTTCCAACACGGCAAATATCTCACGCAAGCACGCTCGTAGAGATTCCACCAAACGTGATATCGGCAACCTTCCTAATACACCCGCCAACGGCTGGACTTCACCCAACAGGGCGCCGCACGAGATCGAAGCGATGCAGAAAAAGCGAGACGAAGATGCGGCAAAGCGGAAGCTACTCGAAAGAGCTGCCAGAGCGGAGGCAAAGGCAAAGGCGATAGCGGCGGCAACGGAAACTGACGAGCGCAGCATTGTTCCGTTCGAGGCTAGCGGTCAAGCCACCTACAATTTTGCAATGGAAAGCGACGAAGTTCCTAGGTCAACATCGAACGGTGACGCCGACTCTCATGGCGCCACCGTTTCCACACCGGGGGCTACCGCCACTGGTTCGTCGATGCAAAGCAAAGCAACAGCATCGGGGGGGGAAAACCCAACAGGCGGATCGGATGGAGGCGGTTTCTCGACACATGGGGGCGGCACTGTGCCGACTTTGTCTAGCAGCATTACGAGCGCCACGGAGGACCTCCCAGTAAAACTGGTCGCGTCGGGTTAATTTTCATGGGAGCACGAGAATCGAAACGATCGAAGCAACTAGATGTCCGGGGGAGGTTCAGGCTGGAGCCGCGCGCGTGCGCGCATGCGCGCGGAGGGGTGATGTAGTAACGCTGCACATTGGACCGGGAGGATGAGGCAAGACACTGAGAGTACCTCTTGTCGAAAGCCGGGGAGCGGGTCGAACACAGCGTAAGTATAGGTATGCTTTAACGAAACCACCAAATGATTCCTGGCTCTTTTGTTTTGGCCAGCAAAAATGGTATACAGCTGGACAGCTCAACACATGTCTCGGGTTGTCCCCCAGCCTATTAGATATCAGGCAGAGTCGGTCAGCGGTCGCACAGAGTGTGCTTCAAGATGATGCTCCCGTTGGGACGAAACTTCCGGATTTGGTGGCTTCAGGACAATTGGGTGGTCGACTGCAGGTCGGTACCTCGATAGCAATCAAGGGGGGCGTACTCATGTTTTGCATGCCTTAGCAGTAAGGCCATTATTCCCACAAGACCGATCACCGATGGCCAATCGTTCCTGCCTACTTCGCCAAAGGTACGGCGATGAGGGGGGGTGTCTCAAAGCCTGGGTGCGGAGCTCACCGTGAACACCTTACAACCTCTCGTCAAGGCGATTCCTCACCCAGTTTACTGGTGGTCACATTCGTCCAAAGAGCATGCGAAGTTTGATCACAATCAATGTACCATGGTATTAAAAAGCAGCGAAAAAACAGGGGGCGCCTCGCCGCACGTTGTACGCCCAAAGCGTAAGGACCACCACCAACGTAACTTGCGCCATGCAATAAAACAGAACAAAATCAATGGCAACGGGGACGGATCGATCTGCGTGATCTTCCTGTGCCGCAATTCGCAGACTTTAAATCGAGAAAAATAACTTTCGTCTCCCTTACGCCCACAACCAGGCCTGCACGAGCAAGCAGGAATCCTAGAAACGACCGACCGAACTAGAGAGCTTACAAGACATCCCGCTCCGTTGCCGAGGGCACTCCACCAGCGAAGCCGTTATCCCCTGGTCTTTCACACGTCGGAAACACGTGAACTCTTTCACGCATACGGAACACAAACAAGCGGCACACTCCTGCATGCCGTGCAGAATCCCCCTTCACCCGCAAAAAAACAACCGGCCTTGTCGTATTTCTCGGTCCTTGAAATTCGTCCTACATATGCTCTTTTCTCAAGTCTTCAAGCACTAGATAAATCGTCTATTTAGATCATCTTCATGGGGTCCTTCTGGAACTTTGCGCACTCGTCTTGTGCTGCCAACCAGTCCGGCTTCATTGTCCGGACCTTGGGCGCTGCGTCGAAGCAAACGAGAACCGGGCGATCAAAGTTGGTTGCGCAGAAGCGATCAAACAGCATCGGTGCGATGTCCTGCAGTGGCGGAAGGCAGCGCTCCCGAGAGCATGTTAATACTAACAACTTGAATTGATTTTGATGCTTGCTTGAGAGTTTGTGATATGAATAGCAGGAGCAGAAGGAACCAGGTACGGTGAGAGAAAAAATAGGAGGCAATGACAGCACGTACACACCACAAAGAGGCGGAGAGATGGCACCGGTCGTGGAGGTGGCACTGGGTGCGTGCATACAACACCGCCGTGGCGCTAGTATTTAATTGGGATTGGGTATCGCACACATCGGACAGATCGCACTAGGGCGCCTTGAAAAAGCTAGTACACACGAATTGATGTACTGTCAACTTTCTTTCCGAACTGGTCCTAACAAAAATACACTCTGTATGCTAGAGTAGCAGTGTCATTTCGCCGCCTTGGGCGTGTGACGTGCAACATGTCAGAGGAACGAAACGAAAGCAAAGCAAAGCCTTGCCCGATTTCCCACCAACGAGAGCAAGCATCGACCTAGATCTGCAGCAGCCGATAAGAAGTCGACAGCAGTGCAAGGAAGACGCGCAGGTATATCACATCAAGCACACGTGTCCACTATTGCTGTCGCACCACCCTACCTAATCCTTTGCTCACACACGATCGAATTTTGATGCGGTGTAGCAGGCAAAGCGTCGGCGGCCGTTTTTTTTTTCTTCTTAATATGACGTTTTGTATGGCTTAGACTACACAACTACAGCAGCAGCGGGGTTAGAGGGTGGAAGCCAATCGGCACATTTCACCCAACTGATAACCGATGCCGTCGAAGGTGGCACCGCCGTGGCAACACCCGTTCGCTGCAACAACGGCCTTCCCCCCAGCGATCGGTGAGGGAAGCAGCAGCCAGAATCAAGCCCCTAAAGGAGACTCTGTCCGGTGGTCGAGGCGGTTACCGGCAAGTTCTTTTCTCCCCGGCGGGCGTGCGGATGCACTCGCATGTAGAGCTCTGGTCCATTGATGACGTGTGCGTGAGGTGTACATCAGCACATCACATCAGAACTTGCAACGCACCCCCTCGCCAACAACAGGGATACGGGGCGTTTGCACTAACGACTTCTGCTACGGCTACTTCGCTCAATATACACGCGCGTGACAGGGCTGAGAGTCGGAGGTTGCAGCTCTGCAGCAGCTGGGCATCAACACCACATACGCCGAAACAGCAGCAGCGCGTTTGGCCGCGCCTCCAGTTCTCCAACACAAAACGAAACAAAAAAATACCTTTGCTTTGAAGGACCGAGAAGAGAACGGTTGTGGTCGCGGTGGCGGCGACAAAGGACACACCGATGGCCTTGCTCTTGCTGACGGAATTGGCGAGCTTGAGGATGGTCATGGTTTGGTAGTTGATGGCGTGTGATAGAAACGATGGGTGTGCATACAGAGTGTGTCTGAGTGGCACAGCAGAGAACGATGGACGAGAAGAGAGACAGTGCCGCCCCGGCAAAAAAAAAAAAAGTGAGCGTGTGCGCACGCATGCACGCTGTCGGATGTACTCCCAGAATCGACAGATTATTTTACGCAAGAATTTTCTAAGCAGAGGGAGCGGGGAGTTTGGAGGTTCAACAGCTGTTGTTGCTAGAACTGGATTTCGTGGTACCAACTTTGCCGTATAGTACAAGTGGGTATCTACGACGGATGTGATGATGTGGGTTGTGATTGTGGGTCAGTCCCTTTTCTTTCGTCCTTTCCTATATGTTGTTGTTGTTGTTGTCTTCACATTAAAAACCATCCCGGTCTCTCTATCCAGTACCTCCTTCTGTCTCAATCTCTCGGTACTAATCCATCACTTGACTCGGCCAATTTCCGTGGTCACAGGCTAACGTACCTAGAAAAGGTATACCAAAATAAAATGGACCCCAAGGGTCAGCAGAGCGATAAAATAAAATAAAACAAAATATAATCAGAAACAAATAAAATAAAATAAAATAAATAAACTAATCAAATCCTATTCCCCGGCTTTCACGCAACTCGGCTATCACGCCACCCGGCTTCCACGCCACCGGGGCTTCCACGTCCTTGTCTATATCTTTATA